TGTTGTTTGCTTCAGTCCATTCAGTGAGTTTAGTGTTCCAGTGTGCTAGTGTGTGATTCTTTCCTTTGCTGTGAAATATGTAGTATGCCAGGGGTCCATAAGAGTTAGTTTTGACATAGTGGTGTATCTACTAAGTGATCTGATATTCGAATAAGAAATTGTGACAGGTGTTCCTGCACCATTGTGTTAAGTGTGACAGTTTCTCACATGATATCCCTTCATCTGAGGTGTCCCCTTCTCCACAATGTGTCACCTTGTCACACACCAAATTCCTGGGGATGCAATACTGGTTAGCATGACACTTGAAACCACTGCAATACCCTAAATGTAACAACACACATATGTGGGCTTTTGTGAAATATAACAACTGACTAATTAATCAATTCAAGTAAATTTAAGTGACTTATTGTTTAATCTATGTTTCAATAATTGATCCAGGTTTATTAATCAATATCTCAGGCAATAATTATTTTTATATAAAATACACTTTACTGGGGGAGGGTGGGGGGAAAGAAACCTGTGTGGATGAAACTTTTTTTTGTAATAAAAAATTGAATAAATATTGAGTATTCAGGTAAGGACTTAATTTACCAAGATAGACTTCAGGTATAATCTCTGCCCATGCTATGAAGAATCCACCATTTCCAATAGCACTGCTTGAAGTAGTAAATCTATAGGAAAAATAACCAAAGAATAAATCAAAACCTTAATTTTAAAAAATCAAAACAAAAATACATTTTTTCTTCGATCTAATATAAATATTTTGCCATTTATTGACATCATGTATCATTTAAATGAAACACTCTTTTTACCATGAACCCTTGCCTTTTCATCAAAAGTACATACTTTAAAGTAATATTGTTTTGAGCTGATATAATCATCTTGGTCTCTGGCTTGAGATCTGTACCGCACAGTTCCTCGGGTTGACTGCCACCACCTTTGTATATTCTGAGAACAGCTGCTGAACACCCGCTGTAAGTGTGAGATAATACTAATGAATTATAACATTGCATGCTGGGAATTACATGACCTTTTATGTTCTGTACTATATGTTTCAGTCAACCCTTTGATCCCGAACAGGTAAGGTATTCATACCTGTATAAAATTTTCCATAATATCACAGGGGAGTGGCTGCTATTATTATTATTATTATTGTTATTAATATTATTATTATTATTATTATACTACAAAGATAATGCACACTTTGCCACTACTCACGCAGATGGGCTGCCTTCCATGGCAAACTTTTGTAGATGTAGGAGAACTTTGCTCTGAGGATCTCTGAGCTGAATATGCCATATACATCCTGTGTCCTTCTTGTAGTTGGCAGGATAGTTAGGACTTGTGATGACACCCCCGCCATGTTCATCTGAGGTTAGGTTGCCACCACAGGCTGGAAGTATGAGAGACTTTTTTGAAATATTAGAAAATAAGAAAATGAAAGTAAAATATATTATACCATGTATAAAAATCACTGAAAAAACTATAAGAAAATATGAAACTGAAGAAAAAGTACAACCTTACATAATTCTTGAAATAAAAAACAACTTATTACTAATATAACTTCTATATATAGTAAGTATTAATTGACAGATGTCAGTACTTACTTGGGTCCGTGAGTTCCAAGAATTCATATTTTCCTTGAAAACCCCCAGCAACACCTTCAAAATCTGACTGGAATTCTACCATCATGTTGTTTATTCCTCTGGGTGACAGAATAGGGCCTGGTATGATAGCTTTACAATATACTCCAATGTTAGTTAGGGTCTCATTCCCTGTGTCACGGTCATAGGTAATTTCATAGATAATCACTTTATCCTCTGGGCATCTGGAAAATCATAATGTGCTTGTACACTTACTAAGTCAAAAGTGGTGTGTGGAACTTTGAAGTTAAAATTGTGTGGTACTTTTAAATTAAAATTGTCAAACTGGAAAATGACCATATGTATAAGTCAAAGAAATGTGAATTCAAGTCCTTTACATGACATCAAAAAATTAATAAAAGCTGAAAAATAAAAGTTCTGTCACAGGAAATAAAATTTTCCTTGCCAACCAACATTATAATTGTCTTAAATTTTGCTTACTCAGTGTTTGATACTCCATCGCTTGCCTTTAATAAAAACTTGTCAAATGAGATCCTTATTTGTTCATTTCTTAGTCCTCGGAATATATAGATGCACTGCATGTTTGGAGGGTATTTCCTGGGATAACGAGGCGACGTGAATGTTCCAGATTTCTGTGAATGTGTGTTATACTGGAATCTACAGCCTTCCTCTGACATTGGCGTACCAGGCACAGCATAGTCTGGAATAGAAACAGAAGACCATAGTCAGTGGAGCACTAGAATGTTTTAATTGGTATCGCATTATACAAGGGAGTGTGTTAGTTGGGCTAAATGGCAATGTACTACATTGGAGAAATATGGAAGGTGTGCTAGTAAGATTATGTGTTTTACAGGGCAGTGTGTTACATGTGCTAGGAAGACAACGTGTAATACTAGGCAGTGTGTTAGGTGTGCTAGGAAGACAATGTGTTACACAGGACAGTGTGTTAGGTGTGCTTGGAACACAATGTCTTATACTGTGCAGACAGTTAGGTGTGTTAGGAATACAATGTGTTATACAGATCAATGAATTAGATGTACTGTTATATAGGGCAGTGTGTTCGGTATGATGGATGACAATGTTTTATACAGGGCATAGCTAGGTGTGCTATGAAGACAATGTGTTGTATAGTGCAGTGTGTTAGTGTGCTGGAAGGTCCATGTGTTAAATAACAGGTGTTATAGGTGTGCTAGCAAAACAATGTTTAAGCTAAAATGATGCATGATGTTTCCATGTCCTCTGTGGTAATCAGACATCTAACAATGACCACTCTTAAGATTAAATGCATTCCTTACTTAAGTATAAACATTCACCCAGTTAAAAGAAAAACAAGTGACGTGTACTTAAATAAAAGTAAAAAATATCTACATGTCATAGTTTCATCGTGAACAGAGTAAAGCTCATAGGAATGTCAATGCCAACACAATCTGTTGCAAATATTCCCAAAAGACAGCTGTTTTCAGGATATTTTCCAATCATAACTAAAAACTGTACAAGACTAGCAAATATTTTCCAGGTTACTAAATTAAAGTAAGCTGAAATTGATTGAGGTTATGTTGCTTACATATTCCTTCACATCTTTAATAACATAGCTGCAGGTACAATGTGTGCTGCTTCCCATGACATACCTGTGAGGAATTCATAAGTTGCCTTGAAGCCACTGCCTGCAATGCCTGCATGGTGAGAGTCAAATACCAGGAACATTCTTGGGTGTGAAGAAACGATTGGGGAGTCTGGTACCCTACCACAGTAGATTGCATCAGCATCGTCTGTTCTTCCATCCACTGGCAGTCTGCCTTGTAGGTATACAGCAAGGAAACCATCGGTGCATCTGAAAGATCATTTTTAGAATATGCAGTTGTGCTTCAGAGATTACAGATTAAAACTGTTCCCCTCTATACAGCATGTATGTACTGACATAACATATCAGATACTAACAGCTACCATATAGTTCATGCATTCTGCAGATCTGTGATCTCTCTAAGCACTATGGGTATTAAATCTGCTTGGTGTCTGTCTGATCAAATTTCTATCTTCTTCTAAAGCATTAGCAAAATTTATATTTGATGAATGAGGAAGATTTTGAGGCCCTTGTAACAAGCCCCTCAAACACATCAAAATCAGGATCTGATAACAACACCAGACTACAATTTTCAAGTCAGAATCAAATACTATATGATGTGTATCTTCACCTCTCAGTGGACCTAGATGGAATGTAGAAATTGTTAAATGTCAGGCGCACTTTTTCAAGATCTTTGTCATCCTCAAGGCCATCAATGTAGAAGTAGCAGGTGACATTGATGGGGTAGGACTTGGGGAAGTATGGAGATGTCACAGTGCCATTGCTTTGTCCCGAGCTCCTGATGACCTGGTCACATTCTGGAAGCATATAACACCAAAATTAATACTATAAAGCAACCCAAATTTAATGAACTTCCAATAAAAAAATAGCATCTAAGTTTGAATAAAGATATAAATTTTATTTAAGATGAAAAACTTCAAAAAATATTAATAATATATTTTTAATCATCTTTACGTTTTCATATAACTAAAATTCATTTTAGTTGTCACAGCCATATAAGGTGTCATGGTGTGTTTGAAAGTTTTTTCTTTCCTTCTTTTTTAAATTTCTTTATTTTAATGTGTCTGTAAGGAATGTACCAATAGATATAAGCCACTGTAAAGGGTTTCTCTGTTGGTTAAACATGTCATGGAATGCTTGTTCTGTACACAATTAATTAAGAGAAACAGCAGGGGACTGACTGGACAGAAGCAGTGAGAGCTGCCCAGAATAAAATTGTATATATACATATGTGTGTATATATATATACCCATGTCATATGCCCATGTCATACAGATATATATATATATATATATATATATATATATATATATATATATATATATCAACATTTACCTGTGCCTGGGTAGTGCATTGCAGGAGGTTTAATGAAATCTGAAAGAAAAAAGGCAAAGCTTTAACTTTGATGTAACTAGAAAGAATCCATCAGTGATATCAGAGCAAGTTACATGAACCACCACAGTAAACACCATTGCCCTGCCAGGAATGTTAATTACTACAGCTTATACTTCACATTCCATGCAGCTTAAACACCTACCTTAGATCTAGTTTTTTTTCGTTTTTTTTTTTTTTTTTT